AAATATTTGGACAGTTTATATTCTGCCTAAATAAATGCTAATAGTTTTTTATTATTCCGATGACCGTATAGTCTTAGAGTTCCATGTGGGTTAGGCCCGCTTATTTTTATTTTTTACTAACGTAAACTTTAACAGTTATTTTTGTTTATATAGATAATAATGTAATTAATTTTTCTGTGTATATTTTTTATTTATTTATTTATTTTTTTATTTATTTATTTATTTATTTATGCCTTCGGCAACATGGGCCATTGGGTTTGATTTTGCTGTATATTACTATATAAACTTTAAAATTACATAACAGTTTGTAAATTCTACAAAATATTTATTAATAATAATTGATCATGTTATATTTTTTGGTGGCGCAATTTATGTGTAGGTACCTTTTTTAATCCGCATCATTAACGCACTTTCATAAATGCACATTGTGGTTTGTAATACTTACGACGTAGTTTGTACGTACTTTTGGGGAACTATTTCATTGAAACCAACCTGCAGTGTTAGGTTAGGTAATTGCAAATATAAATATATTAAATGTGAGTATATGTGTAATACTCTAATAGTATACGACAGTTATCTACCTTCTACGAAAAATGGATAAATTATACTATATTATTATCCATCAACTACATAGCTTATTATTTGTACATTTGTGTATATATGTATATAATATATATGCACGTTCGAGTTACCATGAATGACAATTCATATTTTTTATCGCACTATAGCTTATTAAAATGTACAAGTACTCTTTAATAATATATCTCTTTAAAGGTTAATTATAATCAGAGAAAAATTACTTATATCATAGTCGGATCTCCTACACATAAAATTATTATTGATTTTGGCGTACATAAAAAAATATATTTAAAATTAAAAACTAATAACGGTTATTGCTAATTATATATTTTATAACATTATATTTAAGTAGAATTAAATGAATGGTTTTTTAATGTTATATAATATTTATACGTATAATTAGTCACACAAAGTTCTCACATTGGTACCTGATAACCAAAACTGAATGTGTTTAATGCTAATTATTCAACGTAAAGATGAAAATTAAACACTTGTCATCATCTACTCAAATTTTACAGAGGTCAACAACGAATTCCACATGACAGCAAATTTATATGAAACAATCAAATCATTTTCAAAACTGTATATTATGAACAATTAATATTTTATTTAATAAATGTAAAAATGTATAAATTAGTCTATTATAAATAATTTTATGTCAGCTATATAAGCTAAATTATATAACCTTGTAGTTGATGCTCAATAACAATAATGAAAAAAAAATACATGAGTCTAGACGTTATCAATCTGTTAAACCTATTACCTACTCACATATGGCCTAATTTTTAAATTTGATTAGATCGATGTAACAAATAATAAATATATTGTATAAATGGCCACCACTATTAAATAATACAATAAACTATACCGTTATATGTGTACGAATAATTGGTCGACTTAATTACAGTAAATGAAAATATAAGTCAACAAACTCAAATATTTAGTTAGGAACCTACTGCAATCATTACAACTTATGATAGAATAAGATTTGAATTTAAATGATCATAGTATTCTTACAAAGCTGAGCGACTTAGATGATATTAATTACAACTTATATTCTACTTTAACGATAAGAACGTTGTGAAGGTAAACAGTGTACGCAAAGAACGCGTTGGAAGTAGTGTAACTACAATAATGATTTACGAAACGATAAAATATATTCAATACATATTAATAATGGTTCATATTATATTAATTACTGGTTCACATACAATTCAATATTATTTATATTTTTTTTATATTTATTATATTTAAGATATCGATCACGTTATTGGAGTAAGTAATGGTAACATAATTGATGAAATTTACTTCTGTTTCCCCTAGCTGTACATTATTCGCTGCCAATTAGTATATTTCAATGTTCAGATGTCCATGAACCAGTGTAGAGTTCACGCCCGATTAGTATTTGATTTATTAAGATATAATAAACTTAATTATTTGGTGTAATATTACAATTTTTAATTTGAATTGATTTTATCCATTCTATTTACAATACGCATATTATCATAATAAGATAAAATACGTAACCTGAAACCAAAACAGCAATGATTTTTATTTTAAATTTCTTTAGGAAAATACTGTTATTCATTTTTTTTTATCGGATAATCTTATTCCATCTTCCTAAAAAAATCGATCTTATTATTATTATTATTATTATTATTTTATTTAGTTATTTGAGATCTTGAAAATGACTACTTATTTGATTAATTGCTAAAGTACATAACACATTTTTATAAATATTATTAATGTAATTATATTCAGGTAATTTAATATTGAATGTTCTTAGAAATATTTGAAAATTATATAATTCAAATTAATTTACAATGCGAGAGCATTTTGTACGTCATGTAACTGACACCTATAAAGAAGTTAACAGTTCTATACAATATTGAACTTGAATGCTTTCAGCCTTATATTCCCAGTCATTTATCGATTATGAAGACGCCATCATCTTATAAACGCGTACAACACAGCAAATTCTCATTCACAATAATTTTACTCGGTTATTTTTAAAATTAGAATAAGTTGACATATTTTAAAATTTAAAAGTTAGAAAAATATTTAAGCCCTAGTGCATCTCGAAAGCTTTTATTGATATTTTAGTTATAAAATAATTTATAATTTTTTGTGAATCTAAAAAAAGCAAAAAAGCTTCAAAATTAAAATTAAAATATCAATAAAAGCCTCTAAAATGCTTAAGATAATAATCTTACTTTTAAATTTTGTAATAGTTTAATTTACTTTAGTTTTAAAAATAACACTCAAAAATCAATTACTGTAAAATCGATTTGCAATTACTTTTGTTGTTCTGCCCTGTTTATTCAAATAAGTATACCTAAGTAAATTATATTAAACTAAACTTTATAGTATAAAACTGTACGTCATTATCAACAATGGTGAGTATATTAAATAACATATAATTTATAATTCAGATATATTTTTTTAATTATGAATTGGGTGAAAATTTCTATTTCATCAGAATCTTACTGTAAAACATGTCATATATATTTATAGAACTCCGTATATCAAATACGAACAATACTCAGTTTGTATACGCATCAGTACTTATTACATAACGTATTCTAGATTTTTAAGTTTTTGAAAGATGCTGAAATAAATTTAAAAACGTAGTATACTAATATTATTGTAGTAGACGCTGAACTTCTATGATACTGTATAATAAAAAAAAAATAGTTACAACTAAAAAAGAATCAAACATTTATAAATTACTGCAAGTTTACAACATTATTCTGTTACTTCATATTAGTTCTTTGTGATGTAAATCGATGGATAATATTAATTTATTCAGCTATAGGCACTAATATTTCATAGTAAACGTATTTTTTGTGTTTTCCGACGTCACTGCCGAAACACAAAACACAAAGTACCTATTTATTGAACGTTTTTTACAGATTGCTTTGGTGTGGCTTCTTCTTAATAAATGACGTACATAGTTACATCCAATAACAGGAAACGTGATGAAATATTGCGTAACTGATTTCCGTACAAATCATCAGTCGATTTGGTTCGCTTTAAAGTATAACTTACGATAAATACAGTTTTTTAAAAATATAATATTATAACAATACCAATTATTTAATTAATTAATAAATTAATAACCTGTATTTTAAAGTGATTCGTTACATCACACTGTTAGGGGAACTTTATTTTTAATCAATTTCTTTAATATCTTTATGCTAAATAATACATTTAAAATTTTAAACTATTAAAAATGTCTTACATTAAACTTAACGGTAACAAATATGTACAATAGAAAGTGTGGTTAACATAATGTATAATAAACCAACATATTATAATATTATGATGATGTATTTAATAATAAAATATGGCTAGGTATAACACGGCACCATAGATCGGCAATTTAGGTACACTATCATCATGGTTGGCTGTTTTTGACAGTATACCTACCACTTCGTTTTCAGTATGATATTAAAAAATTTATCTTGGAAGACTTCACGTTTTGTTTTTCTTTATTTACTTTTTTTTACCATCAGTTAATGTGTATCTTGTTTCTGATTCTTAGTCGTCAATTATAATTTCCAACGTTACTTTGTTGCTTTTGTAAATCATACCAATCGCAAAACTACTATACAAATACATACACAAATATATATTACAAATATCAAGAACAAATACAAATAAGTTTTTATTTAAAAAATATATAATTTGAGATTCAGCAATAGTATAATATAAACATATTTGCTTGACAAGCAATTCGACATGAATATATATTTAAATAATATACATAAAATATTTATACATACAAATAAATTCGTCAAGGCTAAAAACTAGAGCCCTGGACTGAAAAAGCTATATGTTATTATAAAAATAAGTTTCTATTAAAAATATATAATATGTAGGCGTATAACAATATAATATAATATCTAAAATTATTACTTATCATTATTTGTATTATTATTATAAAATCAATAAAAGTATATGCATCGATGATTGGACTTAAAAAAAAAAAAGTGAATAAAAAATCAAAACAATTGTAATTATAAGTAACAATGGCACAACAATAACAGTATTGACGATGGTGGCTATACCTAAATAATAGTTGTAGTGGTGGAGGCGGTTGTAGTGGTTTGATGGCCATACCGGAAAATCTATATTAATCCATGATGTGATGTTTGCTGGTAAAATAGTTCTATAAAAGGTGTAAAAAATGGTAACTGAAGAGGGAAAGGGGTTGGCTCGTAACTCCTCACATGAATATCGTAGTTCAATATTTCAAAAACTCGAAAAAAAAATAATATATATACGTTTAAAAAGAGAGAAACAAAATATCATACGAGCACATCGGCAGCTGATGGCATGTGGGTAGCAGCGACAATAATATATCATGATATTATAACAACGTAATAATAATAATTATTGACCACGTGCGGCGGCGCGGGTCAGCCCAGCAGACCTCTGGTCTCGTCGGCGTAGCTGTTGCCCATGTGGCTTCCGATGACCAATTCGCTCTCCTTCCGGTTCCACGTACCCAACCGATTCTTGTAACTGCTGCATGCGATTATCCCGTCCATGCCGGGCGGCCGTTCCGGCGGCGGGCACGTGAGCGCTGATGTGATGAGACCGCTCGTGTACGTGCCACCGGCACCGTTCTCCGTCACGGACTTGACTAGCGGATCCATCAGGTTGTCCAGGCTGTGCACGTCTTTGACCAACCTCGGTGGCCGGGAGAAAATCAAAAACAGCGTTACGGCCACACCCTGCGGAAAAGAAATAAAATTAATCGGTTAACGCCTGAGCTGTCATATTTTTTTCTCGGTGTATGATATAATATAGTGGTAATGAGTACAAAATTTCGATTTGACAATGGCCGATGTTTGGTAAATCGACGGAAAAAAAAAAGAAAAAAAGGTGTCAATAGAGTTAAACCTGACTAATTTCTTCAAAAAATCAGATACTGTTTTCTTCCGCTCGTTTATTTATTTTTTTAGACTGAATTCGAGTCTATATTGTTATTCTTTAAGTATTAATATTTTTGATTACATACTAATAATGCATTTATCCGATATTTTAGCCGGCACCGACAGCTGTAACTGTTGTTATGTACTGTATTGAATGATAATAGTGCGTTCATAATCAATAAGCTTGTACTTTGATTGAGACTATAATAACTAAATTACGCACATACGTTTTTAATATTTTTATCAACCTTATTACATAAAAGTTTTACCCAACAACAGTCTTACAAAAATTAAGTTTTCAAAGTAGCTAACAAATAGTTATATAATAATAAAAAATTAAATAAATTGAATAGGATAAAAGTTATTTCTTGATATATCAAATGTTAATGTGGAATTTTTTTTTTTTTTTGAACAAGTACTTATTTATCGGTATAGTTACTAACATTTAATTATTGAAATTAAATATTATTTTAAGTGAAAAAAAAAGATGGCATACAGCATTTGGGCATTATTTCTTTGATTTAAAATTTTTTACTCGTTTTATTTGTGTAATAATAGCATATATTAAATCATGACACAAATTTTTTAATAAGTATTCATATTTAAGTATAATATTTATAAAACTCTCATAGTATTAGTAATATTTAATAGAAAATAACAATAATTTGTGCAATGTATTTTAACTTTATGCCACCATTATAGTTCTAAATTATTATTTAAAAAAATTAATATTGTACTATATTTCAACAATACTATTTTAAATTAATTTAATATTTGATGTTTCAATATAAAAATATAACGAATAAAAAGAATTCCAGACCAGAATATTAATAATATATGTAGGTATTTAGATAATAAAGAAGATTTTAATAATAGAATAAAAGTGAAGAAAAATAGACTCGACTTTATTTTATTTTTTTGAGAAATATGAACACTGGAGAAATACTAATTTTTGTAGAAAAAAGAGTATCGTCAACCCTCCTGGCTACTGTAGATAATTGAATGTCGTAATTGAATTTCCGTAATCGAGTTTTCGTAATCGAGTTTTCGTAATCATTTACGTTAGAATTTTGTACGGCATGACGTCGGGTAATAAATTTAAAAAAGGATACCGGCTATGCTATATAGTTTATTTCAAGTGTACTTTGTCATTGAATAAAACATTTATGCGGATGTGTTAAATTTGAATTTAATGGTAATTTATTAAATACAAAAAACGATTCTGAGTAGTAAAGGTATTTCAGCTTTTATCTCTGAGGATATTTTATAATATATTTATATTAAATACTCTGAAAAACGTATCTATTGATAATATGGTAGGCAGAACTGACTTTTAGCAACAAAAAAATAGTATTTTGTATCAATTCAGTCTTTAAATAGTTAGTAAAATAAATCTAAATATTTGAATATGTTTAAGTATACTAAGATAATACAAAAATCGAAGTTTGAATAAAATATAGGTACATTATATACAGTATCCATTAAAAAGGAGACAACCATGTTTTATGAATCGTACTGTATACAGGTTAAATTTTCCGTTTTGTAATCATATTGACATACGCAACTCTCAAACTTTTATTTGATCTTTTCGATTTGAAAAATCGAGATTTATATCGACGTTTGACGAATTACTAAGGCACGCCTTTAAACAGTATCAACGTGTAATCGTTGTTGTCGTGCAGAAATGAATGTGACCAAGCTACCATTACATTCCTTTATATATAAATATATATATATATATATATATATACATATAGTTAGTCGTTAAAGTATTAAACTTTCTTACGACGTACCATCAATCAACATGCTTTAAACCAAATCGTGATTGTGGATCCTCCAAACGATGTATTTATTACAATACAATACTGTGAAAACTGTGCTCCAATGGTTTTCATAATATCGTAAGTCATAAAGTCATAAGAAAATACGTTAATCGCTCAGAGCCAAATGCTTTCCGTTTATGATGTGTCTAAAGTTATAACTTATAACTAACCTTATAAATAATAATAAAATATAGAATTCTTTTTGTCGAATTGAAATCAGTAAAACGGATGCAAATTCCTTGGCCTTGAATGCAACAGAACGCTATACGTACTCGTAAGTCATATATTCCTACTTTAATTATCTTAATGCTTATCTCACTTTATTGAATTGATAAAACAATAATCAGCTATTTTCTTTCTGTACGAATACAAAGAGAAATGATGCAGTTTTATATAAAAGTTGCTGTAATTCATAGTTTTTACTAAGGTAAGATTCATTGATGTAATCAAAATCTAGTATAAAATTATGGTAATATTCACTTGTAATTTTCGTTATATTTATTATCAATTTTTTTTTTATCTCATAGCCAAAATAAACATTCAATTCATTTATTTGGTTCTTAGTTTATGGTATTAAGTCAATCATCATATAGTCTTAATTATAGTTTCATTATAACATTAAACATTTTAATAGGCAATAAGTAATAATACACTCACACGTGGTATAATCTTATCTTTATATTTAATTTGCTAACACTAGTTTAAAAAAATCAGTTTGAATAGTATTAAAATCAATCGACGTTAATGACCGTTTAATTGATAATTATTTAGAATAATAATTTAATAAACATAAGTGAGAATATTGATAGTCGTGTTTTGAATTTAATTAACAAAATTATTTATAAATAAAAATACATGAATGGCACTAAGGTTATAAATAAATATTATCAAAATTACAAAAGAGTTTTTAAATATTATTATTTTAATATTCCTTTTAATATATTATCAACAGGTTATTTATAAACTAAAAAAAAAATAGAAATTTAAATGATTAGTATTTATTTGCGATAGCATAAATCAACAAATTGAAAAATATTGTTATTCAAAGCAGTTTTTGCACTTATTTATAATATATATTTATATTATTAGTATTTGATTTAGTTTTTGTTAAGTTTTTAAACAAAAGTTCGCGTAAACAATGAAAATTCGATCAGCGATAACTGCGCGTAAATAGCTTTACATAAATATTGTTGAAAATTGTACTTTATTCTTTATCGTGTTAACATTTGTAATTATTTCATAACAAAACGTAAACCGCAGTACCAGTCATAAATAATTTAATTTAATTTTTTTTAAATTCAAATTCATTTTACTCGTCTAGATCATTAATAGAAATTATATGTAAAGGTTAAATCCAGGATTCTATTTATTTGTGCATACATTCATAAAAGTATGTTAAATATTATGTAATAACAAAATAAAACTAAAATCATATTTATAATAAAATGATAAATAAATGGCGCTAAATATTTTTATTTTTTTACTCACCACAATCGCGGATAATATGATAACAAATAAAGTAGCTGCACTGAATCCAACGATATCGTATAGTATACCAGCAATGGAAGGACCGATAAAAGCTCCGAGTGCAAAAGTTGATGTCCAAAGTCCCGATATCAGACCATAAGTTTCCAGGTTGTTAGAAAACCCGTGCTGACTGAAAAATCAAAAAGACTAAATTATAATTTTTATAAAACCAACACCACAAAATAAAACAATCGACTGGGATTATTTTAACTTACTCGATAAGATATTATACTTTTATAATTTAATTTATTATTAGTTAATTGAACAATGTATTATATCAGTGTCAATTTTTAAAACCCAAAATCTATCAATGCCTATATCTATATTCAACGTAATGATTTATGCATATTTTACATTTATGCATCTCATATTATCATTCAAATTTACTCAGAATTGTTGTTTATTTATACCACTTATATAAAAACGAGACATTTCTCTCCAGACCGAAAAATTCTTTAGAATGAGAAATAATTGTCATTCCCCATCTCATATTTTTGGTGAACTTTTATTTACACGGTTCACCATGTATATATGTACGAACATAAAGTTTAAATAACGAAACGTTTTGTGTACATGAGCAAGCATGTAAATAAATAATCCTAATGTCACATTCAATTTAAAAGTAACGAATGGCTTATTTGATTTTTTTCTCGATTACTTGGAAACTAAACCTCTACAAATACTTACATGGCGGTCCGCAGAGCGTCGGTGAACGATGCAACAAGTTGTGCGCCGATGCCCATGCCGTGCATCACCAACCCTAGTATGGTGACGGAAAATTCTCTGGAAATGTGCGAAAGACATTTAACATAAATTATTTTTCAGACATAATATCATAACATTTATGTAACGTAATATGAACATTTTTTCATATTTTTTAAAAACTACTTTATAGCGAACACCCGCGTATACTTACGTCGGCCTGTCGAGAAATGGCACTGGACCGATAAGACTGAATCCGATCATGAGTATAATGCACCCCAACAACGTTACCACTTTAGCGGGCAGCACTTTATCGCACAACCAACCCCACCATGGCGCTGTCAATGCATAAGTACCGCCATTAATGACAAACATCAGTCCCAAGACCATTGGAGACAATTTGAACTTAAAAATAAAGAAACAAGATGAAAATAGTAATAAGAGTGACGTTATTTTGACGGCAGTCATACTTGTCTAAGATGTGGTTCCAAGGTGGCCGACAAGAACCCAATGCTCATAGACGTCACGATAATACTAGCGGCCGCTAACATTATACCAGGAATTTTCAATACTTTCAACAGACTAGCTGTAAAATTTGTATATAATGCAGGCTTAAAAACATGTTTTAATCAAATTTTTTTCTTAAACAAAATTATAATATCTCCATCTAATACTACACCTAAGCACCCAGAGATTATGGTAGAGTTTTAAAAAACATTAAAAATATCATTTATTTTTCTTAACTTTCGCACCGTACATGGGCATTGAAACAGCATTCGTCATAAAACATACCTAGAGTTTTAAATATTTAAAATCGTTTATGTTATCATCTACGTAATGCATAATAAGCCAATATGTATTTATTTTTTCATACAATAACAGTTCATAAGACATTTTACTATAAGAAAAAAGTCGGTTTTAAGATGGTCATGAATATATTTTATAAGCATGTTATTATTTGCATTCAAGTAAACAATAAGTCTATTTATTAAATTAATATTATGAATTACTGAATTTACTCAAATAGTATACAATTTACAAGAAATTCAAATATTTTAAATGATAATATTATTTTAATTAAAAATTACCATCACTAGTAATGTCATTTCTACGGTTGGGGTGGTCGGGCAACACAAAAGCAGTCATGACAGCCGAAAGGAATAGTGTAGAACCTAAAATCAAGAATGGGGTTACAAAGCCTCCGACCTGAAAAAATAAAATTTGTTAGTATGAAATATTTTTCTAATGTCATTATATTATAAACATTGTATTCTAACTTGATACAAAGCTCCGCCAACAGTTGGTCCAACAATCAGCCCAAGACCGAAAAATGTCTCAAGAGAAGCCTAAAATTATCATAATATTTTATATTACGCACGTGTTAAAATTTATAAAATTAATTTATACGTTTTTATTCTTACAAATGTGGTGGCCACGTTGTCCGGAAACTCCATAGCAATAATGGCAAAACTGGCTGTCAAGAACGCCGCATTTCCCATCGCTTCAACAATACGTATGACGAATGATAATATGATGAATGGATAATGACCTTCCACCTTGTCCAAAAATCTGGTACCAAAACAATAAAAGAATCCACCGTTTTAATGAATCCATTAGGTCTTACGTCATCAAATTTAAAGTATTGATTTTATGTCACGAATCATTAATTCGAGTACAAACAAACAGAAAACATGCGTACTATGTCCGTTAAAGAACAGTTAAGTATAACTTTTATGAAAGTATAAAATGAAATTATATTATAATAATTATCATAAGTTATAACAATAATAATAATAGTCATTAATAATTCAAATATTTATTAAAAACATTTGTCTCGTTTTTATTTTTTATCTCAAATAAATAAGTAGTACAAAGTTAAAATATTTACACATTTAATTATTATTAAACAGCTGAATTTATTTTCAAACTTTTGTTTAGTGTTACTTCTAAGTCAATAAACGTTTTTAAATTTAAAAAAAACCCCGGGTAAGTCAATCTACTGAGTAGTAGATGTCGAATATACGTCGTATTTCTATTTTTGGTATCTTTAATGGATGAAATAAATTTGAATGCAATGATAATTCTTTGTACTTTCACGAAAAACAATATAGTACAGTACAGTACTTTACAATACAGTATTTTGTAAGTCAGTACCAACATATCATATAACATTGTGAATAAATTCGTGATATTATTAGCTTAAAGTTAATTAAAATATTTTAAAAATATCAGTGTAAAGTATATATATATATATATATATACAGTAGAACCTCGATTATCCGTGACTCGATTATCCGTGTTTGCGATTAACCGTGCCCATTCTTCCGAACATTTTTAAACATAATACTCGATATCGACAATCGTATTAATGACATTTTTGACGATAACTTCATATTTTAAGCCCTAATAACTTGTTGTAGGTATACAATATTATGGATGTAGGACGTATGTATAACATTATTGTATGTATACGTCTTCTTATGTATATTTCTAATTACAATTGAATCAAAATTTTTAAAATTTCATTATTATAAAAAGTCTCGATTAACCGTGATTTTCATTTATCCGTGTGACCCTCTCCCCATCATTACCCCGGATAATCGAGGTTCTACTGTATGTATATATTTACATTACTTGTCTCTACGAGTCAATGTCGCGCGCTACCATCCCCACCCATGTCATGCTGTGCATCGACTAGGGACTAGGGTATTTGAACTCCCCAAATCATACTACTCTTATCTAACTTTAAACCTTTTGCCGTAATATATATTATAATTTATTTTCTATAAGAAATTAACATTTTAGGTATACTATGTATGCCACAAACCTATTCACACCGTTATAATATACTGTACATAGTTGTTGATAAATCTGGTAATAACAGTAATAAATGATAAAATGTTATAATAATAGGTGCATAAAATATTTGTAAAAAAATTGTATTCATTGTATTCAACCAATCGTATACTATAATTAATAATTAATATAAATAAATTATTCCTATTAATACAATGTCCACTACAATAATTTACGGATTTTATACCTAATGACGAGGTTTACTCAAAACCTATTATATAACTGAGTAACTTCCATGTGTTTTATTTTATACATTTTACAAAAATAATTGGTAAAATAAAAATATTATATTTATTATAGCTAGCTGTAATTTTTTCTTACCCAAATAAGATTGCGCATATTCCTGTTGTGAATATCCCTCCATTGAATAAGTATTTGGGCCCAATTCTATTTAACTAAAACATTAATTATTTTTTAAAAATTTGCAATATTTAAATCCTGTTTTTTAAACTGTACTCACGTGTTTTCCATAAATGGGACTGATTAAAAATACAACCAGTTCAAAAACACCGAATACCAAACCATATTCGGTTGCAGTGGCTCCTTTTTTTTCAGCCTAAATATAATATAATATTGAACATATTTTTCATCAACATACAATATTATTGTAAAATACATTGATTAATTATGTTACTTTATTATTTTCAAAAATGTTTAATTTTGCATTAATTATTTCGTACTGCTATAAACTTGTAATAGAATATTTTATCTATAAAAATATATGTGTATTTAAAAATATGTATCTACAGAGTGATATCCCTATTTTTACATTTAATAATGACTTTATTCAAATTCTAATTTTTGGAATTTTTAAATATACTCAATTAACATATTTTCAAATATTTTAGATTTTTTGTGTTACTTAATGAATAGATACTCTTGTGATGTGATTTACAGTAAATAATTTCATAAACATAAGTCTTTAAAAATAATTTTACAAAAATATAAAATAAATGACTTATTAGATCTAGTATTAATTTATTTGGATCATTTTTATAAATTATAAATATTGATTGATTTATATTAATTATTTAAATGTTCAAATAACTATAGCCCAAATATCTTCCAAACTCATTGTCATGGACCTATTATTTACAAGTGTACAAAATTAAATAATTAAAAAATTACTCATTTAAAACTTAATCCTGTAAAATCAAAATTTTCAGAAAAAATTACCAGCCAAATAATTGACAGTAAAAAAGGGGTTCTCGTGTAAAAACAAAAGTTTGTTTTTTCATAGGATACTCCTAAAATAGTAAAATAAGTTACAAAAAATTTCAAAAAAATTTGTATTTATGCAATTATATTCATACTATATTTATTTATTTACTTTAAATATATACAATATATAATATAATATACTGTATAATTGAAAATTTTTATAATCTGATTTTGAATAACTTCATTATTAAAGAAAATATGGGTGAACACTAAGCATGCAAGATGAATCACTCTGTATATAATACATATATATTATATACTACTTAAATAGTGTTTACATATTTATAAATCCTATGTACATTATGCATATATAAATTATATTTACATTAGTTAAGAGTCTTGTTTGTTTTTATGTAAATATAATTTTTAAGAACCTAATAAAGAATTTAAGAGTCTTTCACTTTTCTTATATCATGAAATGAATAATATATTAGTTGCTTTAAATTATTAAATTATTACACTATTATATTATCTGATTATCATAATATTAACAAATGCGTTTGTAGTACCTAGTAAAAAAATTCTAAAAATAAAAATCAATTATACGTGTATAACTGTAATTGTAATTATTTTTTTCAAATTAAACGTAGGTATTGATTTTTATAATATTTACAAACAAAATAATGCCGAGGTTAACACTAATCAAAAATATCAAAGTATTATGAAAACTTTGGACCTAAGAGCAGCATAATATAATAATATAGGTTTTGTATTTAGGTCGAGATTGTAAATTGGAACACTTTTTTACACACGCGCTTCTTGATTTATATTTTATCCGTTTGTAAGACACAATAATATGGTTACGTGACCTATAATTAATAATATATAATGAAACTTGAAGGAGTGCCGAGTCGATTTCTTTAAGCAACCGTGACTAGAAGTTTATCGATGTTTGAGAAAAAACTTAACACACCTATAAAAATTTAGGCCAAAAATAGGATGGAAAAGTCAAACGGAGATTATCAATATTTTAAAGCTACAGTCGTAGTTCTATATTATCATAGACTTATACGTCATGAAGGGGCAGCTCACGTACGTGAATTTTAACGGGTTTTAGGTCAAATAACTTATAAACTACACCTAACCAGTGTTGATTATTAATGTTGCTCATATTTCGGGTGGAATTTTAAATTTTGTTTTGTTTTTCTCATATCAAATATCAATTACGAAAAATCATAAATAAATTGCCTGAAATTTAGAAAATAAGTTATATTAATTCCAATGATTCATTAACATCATCAACCAACATCGCACAAACCCTGCGTACGCCACAATTGCTTCCAGGTTCAATGAACCATATGTTTAATATTAAATGCGGTCCTCTCACCTCTAGGGGGTAAAACGGAGCCTGTAATGAAACGCAGATGGCGTTACAAAAGTCAGCGATACTGAAAACGATTAACGTCAACCACTGTCGTTTGCTGAAATTTGATATGCGTAGCATATTAAATGCGGACGGTCCACCACGTAGATGCGCCGATGATGCTGTTACACTGCTGTCGCAAAACTGATAGAGCTTTTGTCTTCGTTGTTGTCAACGCTATAAAATATGACCGTCGATCGGAGGGTTCAAGAGAGTAGACTGCAAAACAGGTTTTCATTCGGTTCCCGTGTCACATGATTGTTGTTGAACCATTAATCTGTATAATACAATAAAATTAAGGTACAAGAAATCAATAAGAGAATAAAACACGTAAGGAAATAAAACGAAATTTCTGACCACAATATAACTTGGTAAAGGTGATAAAATATTAAAAACATTGATCTAATGTATTATAACCGACATCTATGCAATACGAGTTTCATCGTCATTGGTAGATATCCATAAAAAAATGTAATAAATCCATTAACGGGGTCGGTGACTCGGCGGGCCAACCGTATCAATATGTAAATACACTAATACCGACAATACCGTATACACGTTGTAATAATATGTAATATTGTTTACACTACAGATTTTATGAAATTATTATTATTATCAGTCGGTCGATGATGAGCAGACGTGGCACGTCGATTGTGCGACGAAAAATAACCGGTTCGGACGTTGCGGTAAGTAATAAAACCCTCTACAGAGGAACAAAAAAAAAAAAAAAAAAAAAATGATAAAATAATGCGCCCTTCCGATATATTTGTATGTTACGCGTGCGCTACTCATCAGTCATCAGTACTCATCACGATCACACACATTACATTTAAAAAAGATAATTATTGTGCGTCCCCTAATCGATGACCCCGAGCAGTAACGCCGCTCGTGCGTCCTAGACCGATTAATGAACGTCATATCATACGTATTATCGTCGTCATTATCGCGCACGGTCGAATCGTATTAAAATAACCGTTCCTACTACTTGAAAACATTGATATTCTTTTGATTTTTTTGGCCCAAAAATCCCTTTCATTCATAAACGGCATCACACGACGTGACATACGCGTAAACGCGTACAATAAAAAATATGCATTTATACATATATATAACCTAGCCGTATAGGTAATACCTACCACCAGTCGTGCCCAATCGCGTATGCGTTAAGGATGACGGGTCGCGTAGCGTGCAACTCGTACGGACCTCGCCGCCCAAACGTAATATGCGTAGTGTTATGGTTTTCGTTGTTACCTGTTATTGGTATTGCGATAGTTAATAACGATAATTCGACGGTTTGTAGAGATAAGCAGCCAAAGTAAATCGTATAACCGAATGCCGTATCGAAAAGCGACGAAATACGTCTATTGTGGATTAGGCTAAGCGCGTTGAACGTGTGTGCGCGATAGGTAAGGTAAAACCGTACGAGTTTCCGTCCGCCTATCGCCGACGACACCGATGTCAACCACGAGTGTAATCGAATAGCGACCGACGAGACCAGCGCGACGCCGCCGTCAAAATAACACAAAAAGTGCGATTTTCTTATTAAATTTGATAACGTGTCCGCGCCGGTACGTCCGTCGGGCGGCGAGCGCGTTCAAAAAAACTTTTGTCGCAGACTAATAATTCCAGCCAATAGTCGCGCGGAGGTTATGCCCGCATCGGTGTGCCGAAATGGATATCGAAATAAATTCGCGAATAATAATAATAATAATATTATTTATTAATAATACCTATAATATAATATGTGATTGTGCACACTCACTTGTACAATATCTGGTCGAGTCAATTCGTGCGATCTGCGTGCGGTGGCGGCGACAAATCCGACATGTGACGGTAACGCGTAAAACCCAGCCACAGGTATGATACGGATACTCGCCCGAAAACCGTTTTCGAAATTCACTCCTCGGCGAGCGGCGACACGGGCGGCACACGGGTCCGGGTGCTGGCGCGACGTTAACAACGATGATTACGACCGCAGGTAAAAACTATATAGGTAATACAACAAATAACGATAATATGATGTGTCGCGAACGTGCACCGATTTTCGTGTCAATGATCGACGTGTACCACCGCGTTATTGGCGTTCAATAAATAAAAATATATTATTGTTATTAAACCGAACAAACACGCGGCACACGGCCAGACCAGAGGTGAATCCGCGTGTACGTTTAATAAAAATATTAACGTTATATCACCGAGTTGTTCGTTATCTACACACGCCGTGGGGTAGCCAAGGTGGGGGATATTGAATTCGTACCCACACGGCTTACACTGTCGAATGCCTCTTATACACCAATAATGCGTACATCATTTTCATGGTTATTATTATATTTGACCAAAGTTCAATGTAGACCTATAGGAATGTACCTATAGGTACACTCCTATTATACATTTGTATATACGTATATATAATATTTTATCTTGCGGCTATCGGCTATCAGATAAAAAGCGTTACAAACAGCTAATGTATGTGTATAGGTAGAAATAGAGTATATTTATTATAGGGTAGGAGAGGTGGGGGTGGCAATTCGCGGATAATTAAAAATGTTTTTCTCTAAGCAAAATATTTACCACTTCTACTGAGGAAATATTCTGAATACTTTTCTTTGGGGACAATTAACATCCATAGGGGAAAATGTCGAGAGAAATTGTCAACAATTTTTCAGAAAGGCTAAAACCCACTCGCGCTTCACCCGCCCATCGATTTCCAATGTGTGGATACTCGTACCTAATTATTCATTTTTCGTTTAGATATAATATATTAAACGAAAGTAGTAACTAAAAATAGCCTACAGAAATATATGCTCATGAGGCACGAAGTCTTATCGCCCAAAGGCCATCGCGCGTGCCGATATCATATGTAAAATATAATATATATTTTAGGATTTGGAATGGTACAAATCTTGTAATTTTAATAATATTATAATAACATATTAGTAGATAAATTGCACATAATATTATGTATTAAATATAATTGCCTCACAGGAACTCTCGTTAAAATGCAGATATATTTTTTTAGTAACGAATTCTCAATACAATATTATTTTAACATACGCACATGAATAAAGGTGTTATTTCTATTTTTTGTACAATGCCCGTATTTTAAAGTACCTACTTGAGTATTAGTAGTGTTACCATTTTAATAGGTATTGACGTATTGTCATTGTTTGGATCGAAAAAGTATAAATTCTTACGCCAACAGTAAATTTGTATAATAGTTATAATACTGTTAGACTTTTACGTGTTTATGTCAATTACAAAAGTAACTTATACTACGAACTTATTAATTACTTACTACGTATTACGTGTAATGATTTTTGTATGCATATTTTATTAACCAAGCTTAATTATTTAAAAAGATTTTACTTTTGTTAAGTAATAAAAGAGGAAAAAGCATCTGTCTGGTATTTGATAATACGCAGTAAGACAATATTATATACACGGTTAGGCTATAAATCTAAGAATTTTCACTTAATTTCATAGCCCCTTTTTGATACTTGAATAATGTAATTATTCAAATACTTATTTTATGGATTTTTAAATTTAGTAAAATATATTATTATACCATTTAATGCAGCGAACCTCGTTAGGATTTTGAAAAGGATCAATTATTAATTTTAAAAATTAATTGTGAGCAGCACACATCTTTTTATCAAAGATATTGATGAAAAAACTAATAAAAAAATGTATAAAATTTTACAAACAATTTATAATAATTATAAATTGATTAGCATCAAATAAAAAAAATATATATATTTTATAATTATTTTTATTTAATACTTAATTTGACTTATTTTATCGTTGGTGGCCTAGTATTAATTTTCACAAAATATATTGTATATAATAGAACCACAATAATACATATTTTATTTTTTTCATACTTTAAAATGTACATTAAACTTAATTGTATTGCAGGACATACTAAATTTGTAAATGAGCGGCATCCTATAATGGACAACACTGATTTAAAGTCTTTTGGGACAATATAAACTCATATTTATAAAACGAGAAATAAAGTAATATTAACATTTTTTTAGCCAACCGAAATGACATTTTTTTTTTTAAAGCATACCGAGAAACAGCAAATACAATTTTAAAACTAGTAAAATTTAATTAACTTCACTATCGACTCATAAAATATTTACTATTTGGATTTGAAAAAAAAAAATAAAACAATATACAGAAAATAAAATAATAAAATAAGAGTGTACAACTGAGCTTGTATTCTATTTTCAATTTTGTATATTAAAGTTTAATCGTTTTATTTTATAGTATAAGGATTTAAAATCCGCTTGAAAGAAATGTTCTATAAAATAATAATCAATATATATATAAACTAACCCGATTTTTTCGACTAGTTTACTTTTCTCCGAAAAAAATAAATACGGTATAACGTTTTGTATAATAATTATAAAATAATATAATAATCTTGTAGTAGTTGGAAATCATTAAACTTGTTCATTTTATAATTGTCAAACATTTAATTCATATAATAACAACCATGACCACATAAAAAATTAAATATTTTTTGTTTATAAAACTGTAAAATTATTAAAAATATTAATTAAATAAGAAAATCAACAAACATTTCCTATTTTTAAACAAAAGAAAAATATACATATAATAATAGGTAATTTAACTTTTTATATCATTAGTATTAACAAGTAGAACATAATTTATCGTTCGAATGATATTATACAGTAACACGAGTTAAGTACCTATTCATATTATACTTTTGACATATAATTGCAGTAAATAGTTTAATATTTTGATCTTGTTCTATTATCAGTATAATATACGCTGTTTTAATAGATTTATACGAATTGTTGTAATAATAATTACAGAAAAAGTTATAATGTTTTAATATTATAATGTGTTGACTTTATTTTTTTAAGTTAGTTTCATAGTCATCACTCATCGCAACTCATAAAGTAACTTTTTTGCATTAATAATTCAAAATAACTCATGTCAAAGTATCCCCGATGGGAAGCCCCTTATATTAAAATAATGACTTTTTCATGTTTTCTTACGTTTTACATCAATTATGCTTAACGTTCATTTACATAACAGATTGTATAAATAATATTAAAAAAGAAGAAATAATAATTCACAAAGGGTCAACATAAAAAATCATTTTATTCATAAAATATATTTAAACGCAGCTCTTTAATGTTATATTATTAATGAATCATGTTGATATACTTTTGCAATAGTGCAATTTAACCAATAATAGTGCATTTATACTCGCATGCACTTTGCGTTATCATAAAGTTTTGAATGGCTTTTATATTTTTATCAACATATACAGATATTTAATTCATCAGGTACCATCTTACCATTATTACCATTCAATAGGTCACGTTCAACAGTAATTAATTTACTACCTTGTTTTATACAGTAATTTATACTGTATACGAATTTTGAATACATGGTTCATTAAAATGAATGAATAGTTTATTTAAATTAAAATATCTACTTAAAATAAATTGATTTTGAACCTATAAATTCATATATGAGTATATGACTCGCAAGTAATTTTTGAACAATCTAATTGTTTTTTAAACATTTAAAAATGATTTATTTTAATATTCAAAAATCAAGATTTATATACCTTAAACTAAGGGTATATAAAAATGATTTATCTTAGTTATTAATCTTAATCTATAATACAAAAATCTACTGTAAAATAAATGAAAAATGCATTAGTTTATGCGTATTTGATGTAAGATACAAAGCTGCAAATTTAATTTCCTAGCTAATTGCAATTTTTTATTTAGTTGACTTTCTCAAGAAAGAAGTCACTCTTTTGATTAATCGATATTTTATGCGCTTATCTTAAATGTGTTCTTTTTTTATAAACCATATTTTTTTAAACTTAAATGTAAACAGTATAAAATACTTCAAGTATTTTATTAGTTTGAAAATATTAAAATAAAAATTTAAAACGCTTGCAGAAAAGTCACAATTCACAGGACATATCGTATATTTGAGTTAATATATATTATTAAAATAAGTTATCAAGAATATTTTTCAATAAATAAGTATGTTTTTATTGTAAACTACAGCTGATGTGCATTTTGCTCAGATATTTACAGAGTTTTACTATAAATTATTTAAAAACAAATCAAATAATATAGATAAAATAGTATATTATAATATACTCGTTTTATAAAAACCTAAATACCTACTCCCAACTGATAACATTGTATGGTGTTGACCACTATTGGGAAAACAAAATTATATAAGTAAATAACTTATATTTTAATTTTCAGAAGCAAATTATTTGATTTGCAATTATTATTATTTATCACTAAAATTAATATTTTGTCAAAATTGTATAATATATTTTTATTACGTGTATAGACATGCTATTATAGTCATCTTAAATTTTTTCAATCGCTCAATAAATTTTAAATGGACTCAGTTTAGAACAATATAAATTGGTGTAGCATACACACGTACCTACCAACCTATATTGTAGGTTTAGATTTTAGTTAACTACGCATGTACATAATACACAGATTAGATATATTATAAAGAAAATAAAAACTATATGAAAATAATTTCATAAAAAACAACTTTACTATGTATAAGGTATAATATTTAAACAATTTATTTATTTAGAGATTATAATTTGACTAAAAGTAAATAGTGATTATTACCGTACGTAATGTGAATTAACACAGGTAATTAACCTGATGTCCAATAGCGGACCCTAACGATCTGTATACTGTTGAACAACAACTAAATAAAGTATGTATAATAATTGTATTAAATAATGTAATTTAAGAAGATTATATTATTAAAATATTCTCTTACATTTAAAAAATAGATATAAATAAAAAAAAACTAAAAAAAAAAAAATTATTTATGATTTGTAAATATGTGATACTGTTGTTTTTTAAATGTATTTAAAAATTAAAATATTAATAAACAAAATTAAAAACATCACTAAACGTTTAGTTGTATTTAATTTATTTTTTGTACATGATAATGATTAATACGAATACTTAAAATGAAGAAATGCATCCAATTTATATAATAATGCATTTATAGGTACAAACTGTTACAGAAATGACTGATAATGTAACATTGAAATAACAACATTTATGTAATTATTTAACATGGACATGATGTCTATATTATACTTATACAAACATAAAACATTAATAATCACATAAACTGGGTAATATATTTTCTTTCTTAACAAATAACTCAACCTTAATAATTATGTGGTATTAATATTATAATATTATCATATAAAAAATACAGCCCAAAAAAATATATTATTAATTGTACATCTTAATTTTTAAGCTACCTATCTATTCAAATAAAAATCAGGGTTTTTTTCAAGTTAACCTTACCAATAAGCATTATCAATAAAAAATTTAAATAAAAACTGTTTCGTTGTTTGTATAATACTAGAAAATTCTCATAATATCTATTGTGAACTAATGTACTATAATCTCTACCTCGTGTATTGATAATACTGCGACTGATTTTATAGACATAAATTAGAATAAATGAATATCATTCAATTATTCTTGAATCGTGCTAATTATATTAATATTATATAGTTGTTTATTTTAACCTTAGTTCACATATTATTTATTCACTGTAAACGTATCGAATAATAACTTAGATGTAAATAATTGTTGGTGAACAACAAAATAATATGTACAGACAAAGTTTAAAAAAAAAATCTAAACGGATTAAACTTACGACAAAACATTGCTTTGCCCGCTTGTCACAACAATTTATCGTGGATGTATTGTATTATTTCATCACCATTATTCTTAATGTGAAAGCTAATATAAAAAACTAAACTAAGTAAAAGTCTGTTAAAATCACACCTACCTATAGTTTTTACTGTTGTTGGAAGTTTTTCTTTTTTTCAGATTCCGAGGAAAAAACCTTTAATTGGCTTTTTTTGCATATTACCACCAAAATCCGATTTTTGTTTAGTACAAATGATAAGAACCCAAAAAAGTTGCAATTGAAATGGATTTTTTTAATCTATGTTGAACCAATAGATTCCTTAATTTTTGTTAAAAATCAAAAACCGTTGTGTTTTTTTTTTAAGATTTAACAAATCTAAACTATTTCAAAAATTTAAAAGAAGTAAAAATATTTTTGCCCTAATTTTATGTTTATTGACTTATGCGATTTAACTAATAAACATATTTTTCATTTATCAATGTTCTGTACTACATAATTATATAACAAAAATTGTACAACACTTCTAAAAAAAAATTTAAAAACTTAAAAATTATATTTTATAAAAAAAAAATATGTATTAATTTTTAAGGACAAATACAAGTTTTAATTTGAAATGAGGAATGCAAAATCACACTCTTCAAGCATACAAAGTTTCTGATTTCTATGCGTTATTTTAAATTTAAAATAATTATTACATAATCAAACTCAATATCTATAAAACTACAAATTAAAGCAATGTAGGCAATGTAAGCAATGAGGAACTGCTCTATATTATTTGTAGATCAGCGTTTAATATGTATATCAGTTGAATGATAATTTAATAAAATTAACAACAGTGTTTTAAGGGTTAAAATTTGTTTTTACATACGATAATAAAATCTCAGAAACTACAGAGCAGTTAATTTATGCGTAGCTTAGTAAAATTTAATTGGATTAAACAATAGTAGTAACTAGAAAAAAAAAATGTATTGGCACGTTGGAACTGCATACAAAATAAAAACTAAACAGAAAAAAGAAATAGGTAATTATATCAATGTTTTGCAATTAAAGAAAGTAAAATGAAAACAGTTTATTACTTAATAATTAATAGTAACTAATAAATAACATTAAAATTAATTACGGTACTGATTAAATAAAAATTAAATAACATTATAATTAAACTACATATTAAACGTATCTAGTATTTTTATAGTAGGTATCAATAGTAAAAATCCAAATACTAAATAATCGCTCTGTTTTCGAGTGTACCTACCTTGTTATTGAACAACCACTCTAATGTCTGTAATGGATGTGTTATATATTTGAATTTAATGATTAATCGTTTTATTTGATGAAAAACAATTCTAAACGAAAACTGTCTAACTTTTAGGTAACCAAAGTTATCAAAGAATTATTTTGATATTAATATTATTGTTTTAACAAATGTTTATATTTTAGATTTCGAATGGGCCGATAAATGTATTGATTTTACGTACTCGTAGATGGTCATTCAGAAATACTTAAAATATAAAATTATAGGCCGTGATAAATTACTTTTCACATTTACACCGCTTCAGTTCATTTTCTGCAAACAAAAGTTTTTCGTACCCTTTCTATCAAATTCACGTTTCTCCCCCCTCTATGGATAATATCGTTGAAAAATGATATTAATGCAATGTCTCTATTATCTTTTAATATTACAACAACGCCTATTTTACTGAAACTAGAAATAATTAAAAAAATACGTTAAGATTGATGGCTTCTCAGTTAATGGACAATCGATAAATAGATTGAATGTATTGGACAACTTATGTGTCTTGTATTGCGTCATACACATTATTCCGTTATCTCTGTTCACATTTCAATCGATAAAGTGGCTACATTATGAAACTTCTGAAACTCCCATATATTGGCGGCCCAATAAATGTTTTCTGATACATAAAATCACATGGTAGTAAGAGTAATAAAAGTGTTCAAATAAAACCAATAACTTCTTCGTTCAGAAGGATATCTAAAACGCAATTTAAATATTTTTATTTCGATGTATAATATATACAGATATTGTATACCATAAAATGGATAAAATAAATTATTAAATTACATATTGCTAAAATATTTTGCCTATTTTTACGGAGTTTTATTTTTTAATATACCCCTTATATACTTATTGAAAAAAATCCATTTCTTCGTAGAATAGATATACCTATAGCTTAAAATTGTACTAACTACATTTCATGATACATAATTATTCATTTTTATTTGTATTTTCAATATTCCTGGTTAACTAATGATTTATAATAACATAAAAAGTGTTTTAGTTTTATAGATATCAATGCATCATATATTATAAATTATACATTAAAAAATAATGTAATATAAAATTTGCATAATAAATCAACTTCAACTAAACTATAATCATTTTTAAGAATAAACGATATTAGATATCAATAAACTATATTCAGTATGCCTATAAAATATAAAAATTGAAAACTATTGTCTATTTTCGTGGAAAAATTCAGTGAACACAACAAAATAATTTTAAAGATAAACAGAAATTAAAAAAATCTTCTTTGTTAAAATTAAAAAAAATCATTTGTAATAATAATTGAGTTACTATATTTTTTTTAAATACGTATTTCGTACTATCTTATCATTTATCTTTTGATTATACTATTTGATCTAATTAAAACTACTCTCTTTATTTTTACTAATTGGCTAATTTTAACTACTTACCGGCTACCACAAAATTTCCAACACGTAAGTAACCTGACCAAGATTAGATTGTTTATGTCTGACCTTGTTCCTCTTTTTTTTCTTTTTTTTTTTTATCACGCATTTATATTGTTTAAGCAAATCTTGTGATCACTTACAAAGATTAGTGTATTTTTGATAATTACAGTGAAATTCGTATGCAATTCTCAAATATTTTATAAAACCACCCCATTATTTAAAAAAAAAAATGTATTTTAATCATGTAAAAACATCATATTATAATACTAAAAAAAAATCAAATTGTTTTAAATTGAAACGTGTACATTCATAAATTATCTGTACTATAGTATTCTAATATAATAAAGATTTTGAAATTAAACTGCTTAAGTAGGTCATTCTTGTTTTTATAACATTATTAGTATTTAATATTGATAATCTTATTAAATATATAAATATAAAATAAAATAAAACAAAATTATTTTTCATTCATTCTATTTGAATTTACACATAAATATAACTAAAACTATATATAGTAGTATGTGTTAATAGTTTTAATGTATTACGTTTCTCTTTCAGCATCTTAACTGAATTTTGACATTTTGTTTAAAAAAAACCTACATAACTAAAATAAAAAAAAAACATTATATTTATAAAATGTCTCATCAGTGATAATCCCTGAGAAAAATTTCGTCCTTATAATTTAACGAATTATATTTTCTTTTGGCACATACAATTATTTATATGCAATGTTAAACATACCATTTCAGTATTGCACTGTTACCCGGCAGCGCGTTATAATTTTCAAAAATGTTTACTTATAATATACATACAATTAGTTCAAAACTAAAATAATACTCAATAGGAGATTATAAATATATAATTAATGTAATATTGTCAATAACACTTTTTCTAAAGTGTTAAAACTTAAAATAATAACCCGTACAAAAAATACGACGACATAATATATAATATTATTATGCATAATTTACCTATATATACAAAATGGCAAATATAAATGGTAAATAGTCTACATAATAGAAATTCTATGTTAATATTTGTTTAGAATGTGGTAACTTAAATAAATATTATACGAGTATAAAAGTATATATTATATTATGAGAATAAAATTATACGTAATATAATGCTTAAAAATAAAACTATTCACTATAGTATTGGAAAGGTAAAGGAAATTACAAAACAAATAATAGACATGAAAATTATTCAGAGTCTTTTAGCCACACTTTAAGTGGGATTTGTAAAAACGCGTTGTTCAAGAAATTTTTAAAATGCTTGCCGATGGCTTGCGAAGCGGCGGGTTTCATTTCTTCGATAATCTCTGCTGAATTTTCATTCAAAAATACGTTCATTGCTTCGCCTAAATAAAAGCATAATTTTAATATCTATTTTATATTATAAATAATTTTAAAAGCATGTATTTCTGTAGTCTAACCTATGACGTTTTGCATATTGATGGAATCTTTGATTTTAAAATCAGATTTCTCCAATTTGAAACCAATTCCTAATCTTTCAGTTTTCATGAATTTCACTCCTTCTTTATTCACTTCAACTCCATATAATTTTGCTAAGGCCGTTACGTTTTCTAAATGCAAAAATGATATAGATAAGCATCAAATTAATTCATCAGCTGTAAAATGTATAATTAAATGTTATCTGACCGAAGGACGCCCAAAATTCTCCTCTACTTCTAACGGGTAACAGTAACACATTTCCATTGACGTCGTAGTTTCCAGTGGCTTCGATGTGCGGTATAAAAAGTCCTAAGTCTATGCGGTACTTATTCATATCACTCCTATGAAAATAATTTATTTTCCATTAAATATATTAATATTCATACGCTTATTATAACAAATTGCTTAACAAATCATACACAAATAATAAAATCAATATAGATAATAAATGTTAATGACCTTATTCATACGTTTTTTTGCGTAAGATGATATTCAATCTATTATCAGTTACGCAAAAATTTCTATTTTAGATTAAAATTTAAAAAGATAATTAAACAGTTAATTTAAGAATACGATTTACACGTAAAATAAATTAAATTATTAAATTTGAGGTTTATGTAGTTCATTTTATTTAACATTTGAACTGATTAAGTAATCGTAATACCTATATAACATACTACATTGAAAAAATGAAAATATATATTACTATAATATTATATTACCAACTTTATTGTCAACAATTAACATCAAAATTTTTTTAAATGAAATCTTGTAGGTTATTACACAAGTCAAAAATTATTGTAGTTACTATACAATTGCCCAGCAGCCAATCGTTTGTCATGAACAATTGTCATCGAATCGTCGAATAAATATTTAATCATCTTTAGTAAATACTAAATAATGAAAAACAAATAATATTTTATAAATAATTATCTAAAATTAATATTCATAATAAAATTTCGATAATTCGAAAATTAATTATATTTACGTGACTAAATAGATTAGCACAATAAATCAGTATTAAAAAATCATCTTTAAATCTTGTACAATACATAATAATTGCATTTAAAAAAAATAACTTTAACAAAAGATTCGCAAAACGCTTGGTTCACCGATTTATCACACTCGTATGACCAAAAATTGAGTTGTATTGAACTATATTGAAGATTATTGTACGAGTATAGTATGAAAACTACATAGCTTTAAATCTAACCTGACGTTTAAAACTGTATAGTTGCTCGCGCCGTGTATAGTCATATTACTGAGTATGGCCCTCACTCTGACTGCACCATGACCGTTTTCCATTTGCATTTTTGGTATAACCAATGGTTCGATCGGTGGCACGGTAAGCTCTTCGATTCCTAAGGAAAAAAAATCTTAAATATAATATTTACGACCTACAGTGATGACTGGGACCTCTGAATAACATGAACACCAATCGAACAGAAATTATAGTCTGATTTCGAGGAAGCCCCGTTATTTACGGGATGTTTGCGTTAGATGTCTCTCGGGTAAAGGAATATATTATTTTAGTCGTATAATGTACGTACGTACAACAATAAAGTGCATTTAACTATTTTACTAACAATAGGTGAAAAAATATGCATTATTATTATTTATAATTATGAACTATATTAGAGATATTATAATATACCATTAATGAGATAAGGACGAAGATGGTTGAACGTTTCTTTTATGCAACTATTGAATTGAACGTCCGCCTTACGACATGAATGAATGTATTCAGCTGAAACAATGCAAATAATATATATAATTATATTTTATTAGTGTGTTTTAAAATATTAACCATTAATTTTTATAGTTGAAATTTAAAAAAATAGTACTACCTAATAAAATCATATTTTTTATACTCGAAGTATAATATAATTGTATTACTAATTTACTATACTAATGCACAGTATGTGCATATATAAACCAATTTTTCCCTAAAAATATTTTTACATGATCAAAGAATAACCAAATATGTACTGAATTTATATAAATATAGTTAGGTATTTCAACCTATTAATAAATAGGTATACATTTAATATGAACTTGAAATCTAATTTAAATATTTAATATAATAATTTATTATAGTATATTTTTGTTTACCTATTTAGAATATTAAGATTGTAATCTCTCATGACCAATTATAATTAAATATCTATAAGTTTACTGAAATCGAAATATTTTTGCTTATAGATTTCAGCTTATCAAAAATATTAGAAACCAATAATTATGTTCTAATCATTTCATTCTCGTTAGATTAATACGAATATAATTGAATTGATATTTATTCTCTAATAAATAATAATGATAAATAAAATATAGTAACCATAGTATTAAAGTTTAGTTAAACTAATTAATATCTATTTTATTTTCTTATCAATAGTAAAGTGATACACGTTGCTCGTTAACAGTAATATTACATCAAATACCGTAGGTAACGTAATTAAAAATAATACTATACTACGTACACATTTATAAAACAATTAAATAGCTCATAGAATACGTTACATTATTTTAGAATCAGAAATAAATTAAAATATCCTATAAAAACAATAATCATATCACTTTTACCATATTTTGCCTTTAACTAAAAAGAGATATTAGAAATACATTGTGAAACAACAGTTTAAATATTGAATTTAAATTTACAAAATTGAAGATTAATTTGGAAAATATAAATTAAATACAAATCAAAAATTAATTAAAGTAGCTTATAATTTTTTGTGAACATGTTAAGTACCTACAAACATTGAAGTAGCTTTAAAAGTTTGAAAACAACTATTTATAAATGTTCTATTTCTTAAAAAATATGACTTCGAGAATTAAAACGTATAATTATGTTTTTATTTATCTCTATACATTAATACATTAATACTGTAATTTCCAATAATCTTTATGATTTACAACTATATTTGAACCTATATAATCTCTTCGCATTTGCGTTAATAACAGAAAATATAATATTAAGAAACTCAGTACAAAATTACTCAATAAATGAAATGTTAGAAATAAATGTATGCTTAATAATAAATCTTTTTAATTTTAATTTATACAATTATTTATATATACAGTCATAACCCATTAATTGTGCATATTACTTGTTATTTTAATTTTACTATTAGTCATACTTTAAATTAAATTATAATATTTACTTATTGGGCATTTCCAGCAGTTGGTTTAAGTGTTTATTACTATGATTTTATACACCACATGTATGTTATCCTTTCAAATATTTGTAGCATTAGTTAAATTATGACATCAAATAATGACATCAATGCAGACTACAGTTATCATAAGACTCAAAAATGACGCAAATCATTAAATTCGAAAAATCAAAGTAGAAACTACAGTAAAGACTTTCATTGCCATGGATAACTTGAACTCTGAACTATCATGTACCATCATTTAAAATGCAAATGTAGATATATACTTAGATAAACTTATGACTTATGATTTATGACTATGAGGGTGCTTGACACTCCATAGTTGATAAACGAGATAGGATAAATTAAGGACGTAAAATTATACAACCGACCAATTATTATAATTATTTATGCAAATGATTGTAGTGTGTTTTATAATTTTAAAGGGGTGTACTAGAAACATTACGTGATTTCAGCAAGATCCTAAAAAGTTTACATCTCTATAGGATCAGTTTACCGGGTGTCAATGACTACCAGCAAAAAAATTCTCAATAGACGTGTGGTAAAGCGATAAACGCAATTGGGGGGGGGGGGTGCTTGAGCGTGCATAGCACCCTCAAATTTCATATTAGTACCACCAAATTTTTAATAACATCATCGAATTTTTATTGTTATAAATTATGAATTTTGATATTATGTCATAGACATTAGGATAAATTTGATCTAGAACTTTTCATCTGCATAATAATATAATAATAATAAAATATTATTGTAAATTTATTGTTTATATTATGAATTATGATTAATAAAATATTATTATGTATTAATTACACAAGAAGATTTTATAAAAAGATTATTGATAAGTCGATAACGATTACACCAAAACGTCTTTCGACTGTTTGGTAAATGGAAAACAGTTACTTATATTGAAAGAGATCTAAGCACTAAAATTGGTAAAGATAAAATAATAAATATTTTTAGTATGTCTCCAAGACGTATATCTTTAATATAATATTTAAATAAAAATAAAAAATGTAATTACTTATAAGTTATATTTAAAATTTGTATTTTATTTTCTTTATTAATATTTTATTTTATTATAAATTATTAATAAATAATAAGGTTGCGTAACGAGAATATATGAATGGTGCTGTAGGAAAGTGGTGTGGAGGAAAAGTCACCCACAGATCATTTTGGTTAACAAAATCTAGCACCCCCATAAATTTAATCTAAATTGCGCCTATGGGTAAAGCAGTTAGTAAACTGATAACCAGTGACCATCCAATATGAGCAATTTAGAACATCTACATTAGGTATATATCAATAATATAAAAACTAAATCAGTACATGACGTTTTGTGTTCATTTAAATTAAAAATAACAATTTTAAAATTATTTTTTTAGTCCAATCGTTATACAGCATTTGATTTTGCAACAATATATACATGTAATATACTCGTATGAAATGAGAAACCATGCAAAAGCTCTTCTTTTATGAGCGTTTATGAAGTGTTCAAAAGTGGAAAAGGCTGAGGTTTTTTTTTAACACAGCGCCTGCCGCCTACAATAAATATCCAGTCGGTTATTTAACATCAATCTATTAAGTGACACACGTAATTTTAAGTACATATCCATATAGGTAGCGGTGTTCGCAATAATAATTATTAAAATTGGCATTTTCCTGTTCGTACATAATACTAACAGATATAATATATATATACACGTATTTAATGTATTTATTATGTATATAAAGATATCATGTGTAAGTTAATCACACACATCTCCAGTCCGACGCTATCGCCGCCGCCTCCGCCGAATTTCTACAACAGCGCTATGTGGTCGTCGGTTTCTTTTACCACGGATTGCTGCAGCACCAGGTATTAAGTAATAACCACGCTGTATCGTAATCGCGCGCGCTTTCACTTTACGAATGTCCGGTCTATGACCGTATTTCCGGTGTGTTTCCGGTCAGCGGCATCGTGAGATTTTTAATCAAAGAAATACAGTAATTAACCACTACTGTTAAAATAATAATAACGATGTGCACTTTTTGGGCTCAATTCTAGCTACGGGTAACGTAAGTAGCACTGTGAAATATTATAATATGTGTACGCTTAATACGCAGTTGACATATTTTAATGTGATCGGTTAAAAACGGTTTTATACTTCACTCGCTGAGCCCTTGACCCCGTTCGGTCAAGTATAAAAAAATAAAAAAATATATACACTTTAAATGTATAAATAATATACCACCGAGTATTACATATAGTGTGTGTGCCAACAACGTCGTGACCGTTATTATTACATGTACATCTCTATATGTCGTATGTACATAAATGTAATAATATTATTTACACGTTACGGCGGTGAAGATTTTCAAACGGGTAGAGAGAGAGAGAAAGATTTGTACACACACACTGCGTTTTATAAATGGATCTATACAGGCTCTGCTGTCACCTGATGTCATCGGTGTTGCGATGGCGGTCGTGCTATATAATTTTTATATTTTTATGATCAAGACTTCGATTTTAAATATTGATAAATCGTTAAAAATCTTTTAGCAAATCAACAGTAATATAGATATATATTTGTAAAAAATCTTCAAAATTTAGGTACATTGGAATTGAAAAAAAAATAATAGATGTTTTAAAATTATTATTACATACAAATCTATTTTAAATTTTAAAAAAAAATGTGAAAATGTTATTAAAAGTTAAAATTAAACAATAATGAACAGGCCTACAATGTGTTTCATCACTAGGTTAAGTTATTTGTCAAAATTTAAAAGCTTCAAAGAATGTTTATAGATCATATCTAGCTAATCAAAATTGAAACTAAAATCAAAACAAAAGAAAGAATAACCAGAACACAATTATTAAATCGATTTAGTGCAGCAATTTATAGAAATCATAAAATCATAACATTGATATTCAATATATTATTTTGAAATTGAAATCGGAAAAGACTAATTTGAATCAAATTTGAAAGTTTTTTTATTCCGATTTCAAGCCCCAGCTATGATAATGATTACATTAGTTTGTCTCCGTATCCGAGGGAGAATGGTTCGGCCGGACCCGGCGGTGGACAACCGGCTAAAGAGGAGACCGCGAGACGAAAGCCAACGGTTATTGTGTATTATATACATTACGTCATCGATGCGGTATAAGTGGATACGCGCGCCAAAAATAAAAATTAAGCAACGCGCGCATTATTGTCGCCCGCTGTTGGATAATCACTCGTCTCTGCAGCATTTACAATGATAATACATGATATAGCAAATATATTCGATTTCTGGCGCGTCACGCGTTTAATAATACCGACACCGCAATAATATCATTATTATTTACGTAGGTATACACGTTTGTTTCTTTACGCAACTTTTCGAACGAGTCCGCCAAACGGTAGATAGATACCTACCTATATATATAACAGGTGTAGGCACAACAATTGTACAATAAAGTAGGTATGTAACATTACGACTCGCTGCAGTGGCGTTTTAGTGATGACTGATAATGACACGCGATCGCTACCAAACCTCAGCAATTTAATATCAGACGCTTATGGTCAATACTGATTCTGCCACAAGGCTGAAAGTAAAACCTCGAAATATAAAATAAAATTTATATGTAGACTAATCGACCGGTTCATTAAAAAAATGAAAACTACTGCCCGCGAATCGCATAAACAATCACTAAACTTTGATGAATAAAAAAATTAAGTCAATATACCTAGTGACTTGCAAGTTTATGGTCCTCAAACACGATTTAGTGATCCGTGGTAAAATTTTAGTGGTCCACTAATCTATTGAATTTATCAATTTTCCATAAAACCCGGCAGATTCATACCTATAGTGTGTATATTATTAATGAAATTAATTAAGCACAATAATTTCACTGAACTCTATGAGGAGATACCTACCATATATGCTCATTGACGCTCGTCAATTGACGACTGATAGCTTAGTTTATAAGTTTATTTACTTTGTATATTCCGAATTAAATCCTACTACGAGTCGTAAAACGATATAGATCGGTCGAATAAAAATAAGTGAACACAATATGCAACAACAGCCTGAATTATAATTTATAGGTGCGTTTGGTATCAAAGCAATCGTCAATAAAACTCATATGAAATAATATACTTGATAACCGGTGCACTGCAGAACCGTTATTATATTATATTTTTATGTTATGTTATGAAAGTAAAAACACGTAATTATTATTACTGTTTGTCATTAAACAAACAAATCATTTCACGGAACAGTAGCGATTTATGTAATATGTATGCAGACCTACTTATACATTCAACCTATTCACCATATGTGGACTAGAATAAAGACTAAATCTAAACAAATAAACTACTTAGACGTAATGACTTATGACACCGAACGGCGAACATAGTAACATAGTAGTACTAGGTACTTATCGATACATTATTATTTATTAATGTTATGTTAAAGCACAAACGACGTAACGCGGTACACAAAATAGAATGAGAAAACCCGTCCGATCCCAACAATAGGTTAGGTAAGACAAGTGTAAGTATAATAAAGTACTTTCTATGAAAAATGTTCGCGGACCGCCGGATACAGCAGACCCGTATGCGTTTTACTCCGTACGACTTGACGCGTATGCCTGTGCATACGTGTAATCATAATAATGTACACAGACTATTGAATCCGTCCGAGCAAAATTTTAGCATGGAAAAAGTCCGATAGTACGCAAACAGTATGGGTGGTGATAAAATATAGTATTAACGATAGCACGCTAATTATTAAAACAATATTTTGTTGATAATCGTTGCAATAATTGCAGGTAATAAGGTACTCACGTGTGGCGTTCACGGAAAGAACGGCTTCGACGGGCCGAGAAAAGGTAGCGATTGTCGTTATCAACAGAGACGTCCGGATGATAAGTGTCAGCGACATCGGACGATCGGCGGTGGCTGTGTACGACTGAGTCACCATCCTCCTAACTGCACGCGTGATAGGGCTTGTTAATGGATTTACGTGTTGTTTTTCTTTTTTAGCAGTTGATCGTGTCGTGCTCTGCAGTGTTCGGCCAACTACGACGCTGCCGTGCGTAATGCGATGTTGGTCGTCTTAACTTAAATCGGTCGTCTCTAAGCCAATCGTCCCGCACACATGGATGGATGCGCCGGCCGATTCATTGTGAACGATTTAACAGAAATAAAAGCGAATTGATCAACAATACAAATAAATAAACACTAAGAGAGACGATATTACGCGCGTTGGATATATAATATATATATATATATATATTATACGGGTATACGGCGTTTAGACCGCGAAAAGGAGCGTAGAATTCGTCTGGAATCTCCTTTTGGCTTTTTTTCCTTCTTTACGCGACAGTAATGTATACCTCTACAGGTGGGCGTTACAACGGTGAATAATAACTGCGTTGTATTATGATGTTATGAGAACGGAAGACGGCGACGTGTTACGGTGCGACGTTATGGCCGACGAGTGCGATCGGTTTGTCGACGATAGTGAAAGTATATCGCGGGGGCTCGTACAGACTGTCGTCGTCTTGTCGGTACAGTAGTGTGTGGTGTGTACACGTCCGTCTCTTTCTCTCTTTCTCTCTCAAAGTCTTTCTCTCTCTCATACACACATACGCACACATTCCGTACCTCTCGCGCGCTGACGCCTCTCCGTCTGTCGCACTGCTGTTTCTCCATTCCTACCTCCCTTTGCAGTGGATTGTCTTTATCGAACAAATAGTATGATCATTATGTATATACCCATACCCATCAGCCACTGCCACAAAATAATGTACGGTTTTGTGCAGCCGCCCGCGAGTGCGTTTTTATAGACTATTGCGCAATCTCAACGATATCTATATATTATGTGTGCAAAGCTCATGTAAGTGTATATCCGTGTGTATCTGGGGAGTTCCATGGCGTGATGTTCTTCCGCCGCCGTCGCCGCGTAATATGTGTACGCGTTCAAAAAATATAATGAAAAATAACTCACTGGGCGGCAGGAGGGCAAGCCGAACGCGGCCATTATTATGTCACTTTTACCGGTCAGCCGCGGCACTCTGCTCCGTCCATCCATCATCCGGCCGACCATACATTCCTAGGGAATTAGTACCTACATAGTTACATCACACAACCGTTCAAATAAGTACGAGAATAACGTAATACGACGACAACGATAGTAATAGCATAAACGAATAAAGTTAATAATACACGGAGCTCAAGTCTTAAATGCATTGTGTGTTTATTTAGATGAGATGCGACACCAATTTTCGGTATACGAAGGTAGCAAAGAGGTGGTGGCTGTTGGAGGTTCTGTTTTCTCTGTTCGTAATAATTTTCATACTCGCCAGAATATTAGCACTCCGTATATCTATCATGTTTTTCTTTATAATAATAATACATGATATTATTCGAATGAAAAATTTAAATTTAAACAGGATTGAACAGGTCTATATAGTCGTCTTGTGAAAAATGGTTTTAAAACAACAACGTACTGTTGTTTAGAATTTACTACCGATGTACAATGTAATTCACTAAACATGTTCACACCCGTTAGTATATAAATCCTGGTTTGTTAAATTTTTAAACAATGTGAAAATTTCCCTCACTTACAAAATAACTTGTTTGCAACCCCTATCGAAATAGCGTCCTCGCGGCTTCGTGAGTTATAGAGCGGTGCGTTGCTGTTAAAGGCCGGAACATTAACTGTTGTAATAGTAGGTATATATATTATATCTATAATTATAGAAGACATATATAACACCACAACGACGACTACAGCGGTGGCGACACGGGTGACCGCGCACGTGATCCAAGGACGTCTCGGCTTTAATAATTTGTCTACACGTACATTAGTGCCTGTCGATTATTTTCATGACAATACACAAGGTTTTCGCACTTTAATGTTTCTAAAACTTTCAGCGTACTTTGTCATGCTCAAAATTAAAAGAATTACTGATTATTAAAAAAACACCAATTCATCTTGAACATATTATTATGACACCAATTATTAAAACCTGTACATGCCTAAATTTTAAAATCCTAGCGAAAAAGTAGTTTGCAAAATATTGTTACTTAGACATCTTCGGAACATCATAAAAAAAAACTGTACCTATATGCATTTTCGATATTTTGAAATTACTACAAGAACAACTAAATTTTTGAATAACAAACAAAATTTTTTTTCACCAATTTATTTTATTCCCGGAAAAACTGTCAAATAGTTCTCGTGAAAAAAAAATTACTCATTTTTTGTTTAGTTAAGTCGTCACTCAATATAATATTACGTAGATACGACTATTTCCTTATACGCTTATTGAAAGTATATTTCAGTTTTGGTATCATGATAATTAAAAAGAAAAGCATTCTCAGTTCTCACATAGATAATATTGTTACTGTCGTAACAACCATAATAATTATTATTGTTCCATACAAATGCGTTATATGATTCATAGACGATGAAAAAACAATTGTTTACAGCTTGTACATAAGTAGCATAATAACACACAGTATTACTGCAATAATTAACGGTTATTACAGCGACATGGACTAAAATCACAATATTAATTATAATAATAATAATAATTTATTCCTCGTCCCTGATCTACGACAAACGTATGCGCGCATAATGCATATGGACCAGTGCCATATTTTTTAATAATAATATGCGCGAATACAAAACGATTTAGTATGTTATTCCGTCGCTACAGTGGACGGCCTAGTGACACGATGACACACACAATGATCTGACGACTGTATACCACAATACCTATATAGATAAGACATAATAACATTATTATCGTAATATCCCACGCCGCACACATATACTTTTATTATTCAAATATAATCGGTACAGACACTGGCAATGACGTTCGTGTGACCGAGAAGTCTGAAAAATCTCTCTATATATATAATATATTAATACGAGAATGATACATTCGCGTACACGAAACATTGTACAACGCTCACAAATGTACAATAGGTAAGTTATCCCAAACATGTACGTGTCCTTAAGCCAAATTATTAACCGAATTATTATGCGTGAAAAATGTGCACGGGTGTAACGGGCGCATGTTAGCATTAGTCTTGTGGGCATAATAATATTTTGCCGAAATCGTTTGTGATTACACGTAGGTACCTACCTACAATACTACGTACATGACTCACTGTATTCAACAACCACTTTTATGTAATACATAACACAATAACACAAATCGTAATATATAATATACACTGTATAGTACATTAGTACATACTACGCATATACTCGTACGTAAAAAAATAATAATTTTAGAATATCAATATTTAATTAGAAAGTAATAATTCAACTCATATATGCGAATCGGTGTGGTTGCAGCCATCACGTATATCTGGTATATACCAGTGTTGTACACGCTGACGTCTTACGGCACGCACCAATAAATGTCACTTATTATGAACTCTGCCTAGCACACGAGTCTTTGACTATTGATCGTTTTGACAATATTAACGATTATCTGTCAACACGGAATTATATTATTCGTACACGCGTGAAATGATCGGAAAAAATCGTGGCTCACAAATTTTATTTTAATTTTTGATTATTTGACGCTAACTACTGATTTTACACTGAATTTTCTCTACACGCAATTATTCACTGGAATCCTCAAAACGTCGAGTACGTTTCCACGATGTGATACATATACCTATGAACGTCCGCGTTTATGTAATTGAATACGTCTCGTATGATTATTATTTTTTTTTTTTGCCATATTTACCGTAGAACTTTAATTTTAGATTACATTTCAATATTTCATTACATACACAATACACGTACTGAATATCCTGTTATTACTGTTGCTGGTGGATAAAAATACACATTTTTTACACACATTTATGGTGATTTATTGAGCAAGCTAAACCAAATTATACCCTTGTGACCTTTAATAGTGTATTTATTCAAATTATTAAGTTTTCAAATTTTCGAGTTTTTATAAATTTCAATTTTTTATACATTTAAAGTTTGACGAAAACGATTAATTATTTTGTTTAGAGTTAAAAAATATTTTCGCCAGGACTTGAAACTCTTATATATATTATGAATTTCATTATACAGTATACACAATAGCATTTTCATAATATTTCGATTAGTTTTAAAATATTATACATTTATACCAACCATGAATTTGTTCACACGTTTTACAATAAAGTGGTATTGAGTATAAATATTATTAGAACAATAATTAAATATTAATAATATTATATCCAATGCAACGTTTTCATCTAAAAACAAAAATAAATTACTTTAATAGCAATATTACAATAAGCATTAAGTTATTATAAAATATTCTTATTTTTTTTTATTTTTTTTTCTATAGTAATGTAGGCTGGCAGACCGTCTCTACTCAAAATCGTTTTTCGTATAGGTACAATGATTTATCATTGAATTCAAATTTAAAAAATCTATTACAGTATCCCTCTCGACACCTACTGTATAGCAGAATAATACCAATTTTCCCACTTTTATTAAGTTTATTTATTATTCAAACCAGGAACTCCGAACTCGAAATAATAACCGACCACGCTAACTGTACCAATAGATACGTATAATTCAATTTTGATACTAAATTCTAATGTAAAATGGTGCTGATCCGACATTTTTAGAACATTTAAGTTACAACGATTAGAATTTTAAACAAACATTTATCTAATTTAAAAAGTCATAAAGGTAGATGAACTTAATTAGTTGAGCAATATTTGATTTACGTAAAAGAACTTATTTAACTCTAATAATTATTGTTATATAATAATAAATGTAAATTATATTACACACAAATATCAATATAACTACTGTAATATGCGAATTTTAAACTTTAAACTCGTGTAATGAAACATCGCCGCAATTAAATAACTGTACTGTCTGTACTACATTAAACAAATGTGAATATCTACATTTTTTCTTTCATAAAAAAAAAACTTTTGGTGTTTAAAATTTTTAATACGCTACGCACGTAAATAAATTATAATTGTATAGACTATAGTCTATAGTGTAATACATACGAGAAGATGGATATATACACACAGTGGTACGACGAAATAGTGTACGTCTCGTATTTCTTTACACGCTTTGCATTGGTGTCTAGCTACTCTCCATACTACAGCTATAGACTATGTTCTAATGGAAAATCGTCAAAGACATCACAATGCACGTTTATCTACACAGTTCAATAATACGATTATCGGAGTGACGTGTTGTGTGTGTGGAATTGCGGAAAAAATCCACAGTATAAAAGTTAGTCAATTGATATCAATTAAAAATTGATATAATTGCTTAATGATAATCAAGATCCGGGGTTAAATCTCCTAAAAAATATCAAAAATGTCAATTCAACAATGGTTTAACTAATGTAATTTTTAACGTTTCTTGATCTTAACAAAACTAACAATAATACAAAACATATTATACAGACTTGGATAATAATATGATAACTCGGTATTTAATTAAATTTAACGTACCTGTTCTATTATTTCCTTCAATTTTATACTGCGGGGAATTTTTTTCCTTAGTATTGGATGTCCTTTTTT